AGAGCTGCGGTATCATTTTCACCTCCTCTAACTCCTCGTTTTCTCCTTCGTTGGACAGTGGGAGTCTCGAGAAGACATCTGCAAGTTGGTTAAAGCACCCTGGCACGTATTTTATTTCATAATCATAGTTCAATAAACATGAGTACCAGAGACTCAAACGTACCGCCTTTCGACCTTTGTTTTCGCGACTTAGTAACGTTGTAAGAGCTGACTGATCGGTGCGCAAAGCGAATCGACGTCCGGATAAGTAAAATTGCCCTTTCTCATACGCCCAGACGCATACGAGGGCCTCCTTCTCGTCGGTGGAATAATTTCTTTCACTATCAAACAAGTTAGGCGATGCGTACGCAGTCGTTTTCTCCTCGCCATCATGCAGCTGGGACAGAACTGCACTCAAACCAACACCTGAAGCATCCGTTGAGACAAACGTTGGACAGTGCTCATTGAAGGTTGCTACCGTGGGAGTGCATTCAATCATCGCTCGTGTGGTCGTGTAAGCATTGTATTGTTCAGTGGCCCAACGAAACTCCTGATTTTGACGCGTCAACCTCAGCAGCGGCTCGGCAATAGTCGCAAAATTCGGTAAATGTCGAAGGTAATAAAAAACACACTCAAGAAATGTTTCATCTATGTAACATTGCATGGTTTCGGATAATCGAGGATGGCTCTGATCTTCTGCACATTAGGCTTAATACCCGGCTGGCTAGCCGAACAACCTCCTCGTGGTGCCAGCTCGGTGGTTCGGGTTTAACCCGTTCCAGCTAATAGTTCGGCGGCAGTGTTCCAGGACGTGGTGAGTTTTCTCCTGGCAAGCGTTCTACCTATAAAAAACCAAAAATGTCTGCTTAACAACATTGTGACGTTGCGGTCGCCATAAAATAAAGTCACTGCCCCGTGGATATCTGGATAATCCTTTCCAACCCACGGACACCAATCTTCTACTCGCACATTGCTGACGATAGCAAACATTCAAGAATGGAGCAGCACAGTTACAAGCACAAACTATACAGCTACATACATGCACACACAATTACATACTTACATACCCCCTACACAAACATGCACTCTTATGGCAAACATATCGCATTTTCGCACATTCTTGATCACGCATTGTTGTGTAAAAATGGTCATGCCTGTAAAGGTGTGCCTCGCCTTGTCGAGAATAAAAGCTTTATTTATTTATTTATTTAATAAACTCGACCTCCGTTACAGCGAATTGGCATTTGCTGGTATTCAGGCGGAGATTCAGTTCATTCAGTCTATGCTACACATTATGAAGGTTTTCCTGATGTTCGGTGGGGTTACTACCAAAGACACAAATATCATTCATATACACAACACATCCTTTGAGATCTACTAACGATAGAGTAATAAATTTCTGCCAAGCTGCTGGGGCACTACTAAAGCCCATTGGTAGCACTTTGTATTGATACAAACCGTCTTGCCTGAGGGAAACAGTCAAATGTCGGCAATCTGGAGTCAGTGGCATGTGGTAGTATGCACTGCGAATAACCAGCGTTGAGAAAAGTTTGGCGTTTGGAAGCCTAACCATCAACTCGTCAATAGAAGGCAGAGGGAATTTTACTCCAACTATATGTCGATTAAGCACCCGAAGACCGGTGCATACGCGAATAGAGTCGTCTTGCTTTTGAACGGCAATTAATGGATGAACCCATTCAGAACACAGTATGGGTTCTATCAAATCTTCCGTGACAAACTCTCTCGCTTGGCCAGAGGTACAGGCCTAGGTTCTGAAATGCTAACCGGTTTGTAATTCGCGCTCAACCGACGGCGGTGCATTGCCTGTGGGACTCTACCAATGTCCGAAGGAAAGAGATTTGGGTAATTGGAACGTAATGAATGAAGGTTGGCGCTGACAATGGTCATCCGGCTGACGCATGATGATACGTTCAATAAGACCATGGCATTGCGTCCCAATAGAGGCTTACTATCCGTTTTAGCAACATAAACATCCTGCTGTTTATGAGAAATATTGAAACCGTAACAAAACTAAGTATATGAACATCGCCGTTTGAATAGCTGCTAAAAGTGTAAGTGGAAGGATGTACAGTTAGCTGACCAAAATGTTGTTTGTAAAAACAATATGGCACAACTGTGATTGCTGAGGTGGAATCTAGTCCCATCCCTAGACAAATGCTTTTGTTTCTAACTTCACAAAACACACAACGAATATCTGACGATTGCTGTTTGGGTTCTTGAGTTGGAGACGAAAGTAGATCATCGCATTCACTAACGCCATATATGGATTGTTCAGTGGTGACCGGGGAACCTCTGGAATCATTAGCAGAATCAACTAAAGAAATGGCGCGGGAACGACAAACCCGAGAAAATTGACCGATCTTACCGTAATTCCGACAGATTGTACTCTTTGCTTGACATGACTTATCATTTGCACGATGTTCAGCATTTTCACAACGGTAACACTTATTTCTAACTGAGGATCGCGTCAGAGAGCGTGTAGAATTCAAACGGTCAATGCCAGTAGCTACTGTGTTAGAGAGGAACATTTTGTTTTGTTCCGTGACTGCGATCTTCGCGCGAAGCATGTCACAGGCCCTGTCCCATATGAGCTTTTCTGCGTCCTCCGGTAGGCGACTCTCTGATCCTTGAATCCGCGAGGCCAGAAATCAATTGTTGTATTAGCATAGTTTCTTCCACTTTTTCTTGGGAATACTATCGTACTCACACTTCTGAACAGAACAAACAAGGCGGGAAATGAATGCATCCACTGATTCACCAGATGCTTGTTTCAGCTGCGAAACATCGTATCGAGATGTATAAGTGTTTACTCGAACACCCCAATATTTATCGAGGGCCGATAAGGCTTCTGTCAACGTGGGTTTCTCCCGCAAATTTAGCACATCAAATATACGTCTACTCTCTGAGTCGAAGTGCAAGCGCAAAAGCCTTAAAGTATACACCATTTTCAGCGTCACGGTTAGATTGAGAACTGGTAGCACAGAAATATAATGGGAGAAACTAATTTTCCATTCTTCCCAGCATTCTGCATTTGGGGTAACCACAGGGTCAGTCCAGAACGGTGAAGGGACAGTAGCATGCAAATACATCGGTAACACGCGACGCCAATTTGTTGGGTCCCGAGAAGCAGCAGACCAGAGCAGCACCAGAACGTATGTATGGAGAAAGCTGTCTGCACATTCGCGTGCTACAATTAAATCAATAGACGTTCGAATTGCAATCAATCAAATGCACTGGCCAACGAGTGCTAACTAGAAGTGTGAGTAGGATAATCGAATCGAGGACAAAAACAAAGCAAAGTATTTGAACACGACAGTGTGCAGTGAATTTCTGGGTAGATTTTGCATGTTCTTTTTCAAATTGTGTATAACCTTTGTATAAACCGACCCCCCACTACAGACATGAACAAGTGTCCAAAGTTCCTCGGCTTTTACACGGAGCTGTGCCTCTTTTCCTTTTCTTCATCCTTTTAAGAGTTACTGCTACAGCTTGCATCTGTTCTGCTGTATAAAGCATATTTTGTGCTGGCCTAAAGTATGCAACAACATTGCCTGGATACTGTGTTTGAGGAAAAGAATAGCTGCAAAATGAGTTATGCACAATCGTTGATCCAGGGCAGAGAAGTTCGATTATGTGGATAGATATCCTTAATCTCCCTGATTATTCGAATCTGCGCGATTGATACGTTACCACGAGAAGCGTGTCCATGATCTAGATAGACAGGGCGCAGGTTTTGAATTGCATTATTGCTCCCCCTATCGAACCTGACTTGAACTCACTCATTTTAACCACTGGCACCTCTAACCGCCCTAAATAGGACCATTTCGTAAAGCTGTGGCTTCTGGTACTGCGGATTATCGTTTATACCCGACTAAGGATAGACAATTATCAATCCTTGGTTTGTTATCCTCAGTCAGTAAGCAATTGATGTAAATCTCTTATGACGCCCACTGATCTTTCCACCCGTATAATTGCTCATGGTTGAATACTGAATACTGAGAATAAAGAGCGAGAGGATAGAAATCTCTGCTCCATTGTAGGTGGATCCGCCACATGCGCGGAATCCCGTCACTGATTTCTGCGCGGTAACAACATATTGCAGCTGCACTACATCTGATCCGGGTGCGATACGCTTCCCATGCTTGTAGTCCGCAAAGTGGGCGTCAAGGAATCTCTTACATTCCGACACCGATTTCGCATCGACCCGAGTTTCCGGCAATGTAATCCAATATTTCACCACTCGATGCTCGAAGCATAGAGGGTGAGCAATATGCTTTAAATCCGGTACCACTAGTTTGTACCGGTGTCCGCGTGTGCTGATGGGGAATATCGAAAATGTGACCCGCTTGCAGTGACAAATCTCCGGAACGCTCATCATCAGTAATGCTGGACCGGTGCAAAGGAAGCGTTGCTAATCCGGGGCAGCATACCCTACCTTAAGCACTTCTTATCGAGAGTTGGGAGCGGAGTGCATCAATACGGGTTGTTATCCACTGTTTGTACGTGTAAAGGACGCTGTGTGCGAGCCAATTGTTGCCCGAAAACTGGTGTACTTACCTACTCTGATTGGTGGAACTGCTTCCACTTCCGATTGGCTGTTTGAGGTCGCCGGATCGATGACGTGTGCGCTGTATGTTTGACATGGGCTTGCGTTAAACAACGTGTCGCTACGTTGTGAGAAACGTTTGCTTACATCTTACAGTGTTCCTGATCCAACAGATGACGCCCGCGTGCGCTTTAATCTGTTCCACTCACTGCCTAGTTGTGCCAACTCGCTGTAATAACATGCACAGTCCCAACACCTTTTCTTACTCATGTCACCGTCATCGGTGTGTGGCGAGCGTATTTTTACGTGTTAAATCCCATCCGGCCTCGCAAGAAGTAGAGCAAATGTGAACTCAAATGTTTTCCCTTAGTGCTTTTGTTTATAAACATGCCGTTAACTTTACACAAAATGAAGAGGATTTCCTTTTGTCTGTTTTTGCTTGTCACCCTTATAGTCCCCGAGCTCAAAATCCGTTTCATGGAAAGGTACTACCAGTTCAAGGCGATTCCTATCCATTGTTTCCACTGAGGAAACTGGAAAACTCAATCCACCAATTTCCAGTCGAACGAGTCCCGCAGAGCAATTCATAAACTATTTTCACGTGAATATTTTCAGTTTACGTTTTGAACTACCTCATGTATATAATGTGAACAAAAAAAACTTTTATGACCTACTGAACTGAAGTCATTTGACTCAGATACTGATACCATGTGGGTGATTTCTAAGCATTCTTAAAGCAGTACTATCTTCCACTTGCAGCCGACCAAGTATCGCCTGGAGCCACTAAAACAGAGGTAGCGGTTTTTCGACAGCTAGACATCTTGTCACATGTGCAGCTACACCGCGATATCAAACAACCAAAACGGAATATGAAAGCAAATAAACACGCAACTTGCGCAGGAAATGTGTAACAGAAGGGCTGAGTAGAGCAAATCGAATACATTTGTATTAAATCTGCTTTATTGTACTCGTGATCCTGAGCAAATGTAACTTAGGAGATGTGAACCTACAAACGCAGAAGATAAAAGGTAAAAAGCGCCAAAAATAGACTATGAATATAGGTCGGATTAAAGGAATTGAGCAAATAAGAAATAAATCTATTCATTGGGTACAGTCCGATCTAGTGTGATGCCGAACAATCCTCAATCGGCACCTGTGATACAGAAGATAAGCGAAAACACACGTCCAGACCAACTGCAGCGACGATGCAGCCCATATGCCACATCAGCCGTATTTTTGGGCTGAGGTATTAAATTGGATCGAATGCAGCGTTCTCACTAAGCGCCGTGCTGATGATCAATAACTATACAGCTTACTCGTCGCTTTTTAATATGCACCCCTCATGGTCACGCTGACGACTTATCAAACCGGTTTGACTGAGGTATTCGCGACCGCATGTGTTACAACACCATACGTTTGATGTCGATGGGATAGACTCCATCGGTGCCTGTTTCTTCCCCATGCAACTGTGCTTTCTCCTTCACTTGAGCAACCGCTCTCTTAATAAGCTCATGCCGTTAACAAGGATCAAGTGTCTTTGATTCCTAACAGATGAAATCAACAGTAGTTCGTGGTAAACTCATCTTGACCAAGGAACAATGATTTATCACGGGTTAAAAGCAAGGGCTTGGCACGTCCCATAGGATGGTTGGCGTTGATTCAATAAAGACGAATTATAAGTGGGTCATCTACCGAGCGTCCATCGAGATAAATGCTTTGATAACTAACGTTAGTGTATGCTAAAAATCGAGTGTAACCATGCAGAAATACACGGGGTGCAGTGATCGTTGATATAAAGCGTGAGAAACGTAAAATATGGTCGTTCAAATATGCGCTGCCCCCTTGGGTAGAAGGGCATGATTAACGTAATTCACAAGGGTGTAGCTTAAGTAATGCAGTGTTGGGAGCTACGAACAACATCCAATGGTTTTTTGAAACTTTTCAAAGTAGGGGGATACAACTGAGTTTGGGAGAGCGTTCCAGCGTTAGGGAACCCGAAAAGAAAAGTACTTCTGTCGGCAATCTGTAGTATTCACTCAGTTTAAACAGTTACCTACGAGCTGTTTGTTGTGACTAAGTTTCAGCAAATGGCGGCATACGTGGTTCGAGTCAAAAATATTTGGCAGGCTAATATGTGATCGCCTCGCAGCGTTCGGTATCACTCGCCGAAAACTCCACGTAACTTCAGCTTCCGCTGGTAAGAGTAACTACATAGACTGTTTACGTTCTTTATAAATAACTAAATGCATAGTTTTCTTCTCGATGAAACGAGACATACCAGTACAGGCATGATCAAGTGGTTGACAGAGCTACAGAAACACTGTAAGCGTATGTACATAATGCGGTTGAGGATGCTGTTTGCAAAATACGAACTCGAAAACGTTTCATGGGTGCGTATGCCGTTGTGTTCATGAACTTCAGCTGTTGAAATCGTTGCCGATGTGAAGCGGTGGGCAGCGACTAATTTGGTGGCCAGTCAACTCCGCTGTCACAATGTTGTTAAACTGCCATTTGTAGCTTTTTACCGGGTGGAACGCTTGCCAGGCGAAAACCCATCACGTCCTAGAACACTGTCGTTGACCACAATTTGACCAGTAATGGTTCATCGGCAACGCTACTTCAAGACCGCTTTTCTGCACGGCTAATCGCAGTCATGTTGCACCCTATTTTTCCGTTAGCTGATCGGAATGCTTAATCAGGATTTACTAGTAACGGTCGAAGCCGGCCGTACTGGACGGAGATAGGGCTGTGGAGAGTGAGATGCAGGCTTGCGCAGCTGAGTAATAATCTCAAATTAATGGAGGTTGCATATTTCACTTGTGGTATCTGTGTCCGAGCCGATTAGTCACAGGCCAGGTGCCTGTCGCAGGCTATACCCTACTTGCGATGGTTTTTCCACGAGGAAAAGCTATCGCAAGTAAGTAGAACGCTTGCAGAGAGGTCAAGTGTAGTCTCCAGAATACAGGTATGGACGAACGCAATGGTACAGACCACAGTAGATTTGCATCCGAAGGGCGTAAGATTTTTGACAAACCTCACTGGCGATGTGGTTATGGTATTCATGGAATAATGCCGCCAAGTAGAAGAAAATTCCGAAACGGAGCATAACGCCATGGCATCGCAAGTGAGTAGAACACTTGCATGGAGATGAGGCTATATATTTTTTGTTGAGATGATGTTCCGAGTGTAAAAAGCATTTGAACCCAATTGTTCAAAGCAATAAAAGATACAGAACAGGCCGACAGAATGTCCGAAATAGTGGACCGGGCTGTTGACAAATGTCTTTGGGCATATGAGGATAAAATCCAAGATCTTTACCAGGTAAGTCTATTCAACCCTTCCATGCAGCTTTCGCAGAGGGGCGAGGAAGAAAAGGTCAAAGAACGAAAGGCATGCAGCCATGAAGAAGTGAAGGGAGCTGACGGCCTGGTGCTTTTACGAACGTATTACTACATTTCGTGTGTATATTAACTATGGCGTCAAACAATGGTACAATAGTCTATGGTGAGACAGAAAACGTAACTTTAAAAGACCCACCGGATGGATACGCAAAAGAAAATTAAAATCAACATGTTCCAACGTGGAACATGAACTATCAGTGGTTAAACCATTAAACTTTGTCAAACTGTTGTCTAGCGTTTATCACTAAGATGAAAGTCTAAAAGTCTCTTGAATGTCGTCCTGCCTGGTGTGTTCACCACATATCTTACCAATGTATTCCAGTGAGAATAGGTTCCAAGTGAGTAAAAATATTTTATACAATCCATAGGGGAATGTTTCGTCATTAGTTTCAAGTGGTTGCTTTGGCTTTGTTTGTAAGGGGCTATGGTCAACAGTAATGTACGTGGATGCTCGCTTTCAGTTAGTGTCCGGTATGTGGGAATAAAATCTCCGCGAAAACGCCGGCATTCTGAGGAGAACACACGGAGTACACGAAGACGCAGTCCGTAACTTAGACCGGATGGTCCACGCGTTGCCTTTGTGGCTCTCATTTGTAGCTGTTCCAATAGGCGAATGTCTCGTTTTAACCATGGACACTAGGCCTGAATTGCATATTCAAACTGAGGACGAATATAGGAGTTAATCTGCATTGATACTAGCCGTCGCTCAAAGGTGCCGAGAGCTTGCCTCAAAAGTCTCAAGTTCAAGTTCGCTACACTTGCTGCTTTCGAACACTGGAGCGAATTGCCACGACTCTCTTGCACGATTATATCTAGATCGCGTTCACTAGTCACATGTTGCAGGATGTGTTGCCCCAAAAGTTCTGTGTTGACGAAGCTGTTGCACACCGTCAGCAGATGGCACTTTGCAGGGTTCAGTGGGAGCTGGTTCCTTTCTGCCCATTCGTTAATCCGAGCCAAATTATCGTGAAGATAGACAAGGTCTGATACTGAGCGAACTGCTCTCCATATTTTAGCATCGTCTGCAAATAGTTGCATCGGAGATAGAATGTCTGCTGGAAGGTCATAAATGTAGACTAAAAACAATAGTGGGCCGAAGACGGATCCTTGCGGTACACCACTGGAGACGCAAGGCTTGCATAGTGAGTGTCAGCTACTCTTACCTTGATTGCTGTGTCGTGTAAGTAGTCTTCCAACCAGGTGAGCAAGGAACCGTTGATACCGTAGACAGCAAGCTTTTAGAGGAGAAGTGATTGACCTTGTCGAATGCTTTTGAAAAATCAAAGTAAATTACATCTGTGTGGACTCCTTCATCAGCCGCCCTGGTCCGTGAGTCCCGAGTAATCAGCAAATTGGTGAGACAAGATCGTCTTCGTCTGAAACCATGTTCGGCAATAGAAATTATCTGTTGACTTTCAAAGTATCGCGTCAGTCCATCTGCGATTACCGATTCCATCACTTTTGATAAAACAGGAAGGAGTTTAATAGGTCGTTAGTTGGCAGGATCCGATTGCTTACCTCCTTTGTATATTGGAGTGATAATTCCATTTTTCCACTCAGATGGGAGTTTATGGGAGCTAATCAGACCCTGGAAAAAGGTTGCAAGTGGTGCTGCTATGGTGGGAGCAAGGGTTTTTAGTACTTTTGGGCAGATCATGTCGATCGCAGGGGCACTGTACTCCCGGAGAGGCTGTACTTTGCTTGCAATAGCTGCTGGGGTAAAGCTGAGGCTGGATAAGCCAACGACATTTGTTGGGAGTTGATAGGGCGAAGGTTCCATGACATTTGTAGCTACTGAGCCAAACTGCAAGAGTAGAGCATTCGCGGCATCCACAGCAGTAGTTGTTAGGCCACTGGCCGTCCTGAGTGGTGGTATTCCGGGCTTAACCTTTCTTTTGCCATTCACAAATCTGTAGAGCAGTTTGGTGTTACTCGTAAATTTCAGCACCATATTCTCCTGCCATTCGTACTTATCGACTCTAATGAGTGACGTGCAGTAGTTTCTGATTGCTTTGTAATTCTACCATGTGGTCTCACATGGGCTTAGTGAATGTTGCTATCAAATCTCATCTCTTCTGTTGATCCATTTACGTGTTCTGCTTCGGATCTACGTATTGGTCCGGCGGGATGCTCGTAATGGTACAACCTTCGATGCTGATTGTATGACCCAATCAATTTTGTCTTGCAATCCATTCCATGCGTCATTCGCTGAACTGTGCGTCTGTAGGTCCCAGTCAACGGTTGCTGCTAAACTGTGCAGCTTAATATAGTCCGTAAAACTTC